GAACTTTTTCGATTACCTTAAACACAAGAACAATTTTAAAATTTATAAGTAGAGTGTTGAGAAAAATAGACGGAATAGGAAATTATCAGTTTGCATTAATCGACAGTTCGTTGCTTAGAACTTTCAAACCTCATAAATATAGTGCTACATGCTTTTACAAACATGATTTCGATAATCACGCATCGCACAATGGGTCATTACTACGTTGAAGATCGTCCCCTGTGCAATTAGTCAATACTATGCTTTTTATGTTTTGCCATTTGGGAGGAGAAGAATATCGGATTTTACAAGTAATCACTTAGTCAGAGAGCTATTTGGTCATCTCATCTGTTGGAACAAATTAGAAGACAATTTTTTTTTTATAGAAAAATAATTACAACGGGCGAACGTAGTCTAAAACGTTTTACCAATGAGACTGCAATTGTAGCGAGCATAAGCTATTTTTTCTAAAGTCAGTCAAATTAAACATTTATAACTAACATGCTGCACTAATGTATACATAGTATGTTATTCATATTATGTCTCTCTCTCTCTCTCTCTCGCACTCTCTCTCTCTCTCTTTCTCTTTCTCTCTTTACCTACCTACCTTACCTACCTTTCTTTCATTCTTCATCTTCGTGTCTAGGATCTCTCTCTCTCTCTCTCTCTCTCTCTCTCTCTCTCTCTCTCTCTCTTTTCCTCTTTCCTTTTCTACCATTCACATACATACAGTTATTACATTCTTTCCACTCACTCTATTTCTTTTTCGCACGCTTTTTCTCTCTTTCTCTCATTCACATACAAACAACTAGTACAGTTTCTCTCTCTGTCTCTCTCTCTCTCTCTCTCTCTCTCTTTCTCTTTCTCTCTCTTTCTCTCTTTACCTACCTACCTCTCTTTCTTTCATTCTTTATCTTCGTGTCTATCTTTGGATACTTCTATCTATCTACCTATTTATCTTTATCCATCTTACCTTTCACTTGCTCATTTTTCTCTACTTATCAATGGATCTCTCTCCACATATCTCTCTCTCTCTCTCTCTCTCTCTCTCTCTCTCTCTTTCTCTATCTATCTATCTATCTACCTATTTAACTTTATCCATCGTACCTCGCTCTCATCTCGCTCGCTCTCTCATTCTTTCTCTATTGATCAATACATCTCTCTCTCTCTCTCTCCCTCTCTCTCTCTCTCTCTCCCCAGGTCTCCCTCTACTTCTTTCATACTTTTTTCTCAGACAACACACCGTATTCCCTATTATCTAACAAATTGTAAATTTTCAGCGAGGTCAAACTATCCTACTGGAATGTAAACAGTAATATTGACACCAAAAGTGTCAATATTTATAACAACAAAAATGATATCGTAAACCGATTCCTAGGAATCTCTACTTGCTAGATGCACAATTATGAATGAATTAATTATTTGCAGAAAGGGAGAAAGTCATCGGGTCGAACAATTTTAGCAGAATAGGCTCATTCCACTTAAGCGGCCCCCTCACAGCACTCACGTGCCCCTCACGTGAACGGTTCGTGATGCCTCTTTTAGACCTAAATTGATGACGGCACATGTTAAATTTACTTGGGTGGGGTTTTTTACGGTTTTATTGTTAACAATACAATTATAAATGAGATTATTCCTCTTGAACGCTATAATCACCAGAGAAAATAAATTTAAACGGTCCACTTCTCATGGGAACTGGTTGTGAAATATGGCGTTTATCAACTGCGTTTTTTACCTATTGTTGTTTTGTTTTTTTATCGCTATTCTAGGAGATAATGGTTTTTGATCCAACTTATCACTTATTTGTGTTAACACTTAAGTCAAAAAAGCAACTTCTACATATAGCATTTTTACAAAATATAAAGTGCAGTTTCTTTGTATGGTCCACTTCCCATGGGAACTGGTTGTGAAATATCGCGTTAGCGACTGCGTTTTTTACCTGTTGTTGTTTTTTGTTTTTTTTTTAACGCTATTCTAGGAGATAAATTGTTTTCGATCAAACTTATCACTTATTTGTATTAACACTTAAGTCACAAATGCAACATCTACATATAGCATTTTTACAAAATACAAAGTGCAGTTTTTCGTACGGTCTGCAGGTTTTTGAATACTATTGTGCAGATTAATCATCTTGATATACTTAGTTTCACAATGTTTATCCTTTTTCTGCCATACTTTACATACAAAAAATACATTGTCTTCTAATGAACTTCTGAACGTCTTTAAAAAGTCTTTTTGTTAGCAGTTTTGCAAATTTTTGAATATTTGTCAGCACTTTAAGCAATTTAGACTTCGTGCTCGCTCCATTTTTTAATTATGTATTTATTTTCAAACAGTCAACAGTCATCTTCAGAGCCGCAACAATTGAACTGCTAGAGCACAATAAAAAATAAATTAATTAAAAAAAATAAAATAAATAAAATAAAAAAAATACAGTGCTTACTTTCCTTTAGTATGGTTAATGTCATGCTAATTGTTTGTGTTTCTTCCTCATTTTAGAACTTCAGTAATACAACCGGAAAAAAAACAACTTTAACTTCCACTTGCTTGCAAATTGTTAATATTTTTCTGGAGTTTTATCAATACCTTTCAATGCTTATGCTCTCTATTTTGTATATTTAATCATTTATTTATTCTTGAAAAGAAAATCATCTGTGGACACCCTGGATATAAACAAAATATAGTTTCTTCCTTTATGTAGGTTTGATATTTTAAAAAAAATTGTTTATCAACTCGCAATATTTTCATTCGTCAATAGTTGGATTGTCTCATCTGCTCAAACTCACTATTTTTTTATGGGCTTAGGTATTTTATATTAACTTTCTTCATATCAATTTGATATATAAATTTATATATAATTTTTTTAAGCGATGTTTTATGTGGGTGGCTTCCAATTTGTCGACATTTCAACAGTTGATCTAAGGTTTCTTTAAATTCTGACAGACATCTTCAGGCAAGTGTACCTACTGGCCCAAGTCAAACCTTACTTTATGTGAGATTTGAAACAAATTGTGAAGTAAACTACAAATACTTGTCGACAGTTTGCTCATCCTGGCCTGCTTTTTCTCATTACTTTAATTATTCATTTTTTTGACTGACAAATTTTGGTACTTCATCTTCAGTTGATGCTTCACATACCAATCACTGAATATGGCAAGAAGTTGAAATACGTCTGGTAGATTAAAACGATTAGAAACTACCAAAGTAAGTCATATAATAGATGTAAAGGGTGATGGAGAAAAATCGAGTTCTCTTCCAAGAAAGAATGTATTTAAGAGCGAGTGAGAATGTGAATGGATTTGAATTAATGAATTGACTTCATTGGGGGCTGAAATGACCTAGCTGTTGATCGCCTCTGGGGCCCAACCTCAGTAGTTGGAGAAGTGATAGGCTTAACTCTGCACACGAGTGTATAAATGTACATGTACTGATTTGAGCTTGTAAATCAATAATCAGTAATTTGAACGAGGAGGATTTCTTCATTTAGATATCCAGCATAAAGAGCTTAAAATATTATTTGGATTAATTAATCTATATGTAAGGTATTTGTTGAGATAAAAAAGTCAGTGTTATGAGCGGGATTCGAACCCACGAACCTCGGCTAAATACGCCGCTGCACAACCACTTGAGCTATCGTGACTTCGATCCACTCGGACACTAACTTCCCACCTCAACCCAACCTTTCAAAGTTGGTGTCCGAGTGGATCGAAGTCACAATAGCTCAAGTGATAGAGCAGTGGCGTATTTAGCCGAAGGTCGTGGGTTCGAATCCTGCTCATGATGCTGATTTTTTTTATCTCAACCAATACCTTACATAAAGATTTATTAATTGAAAAATGTTATTTGGTCAGTACAGTACATAAGCCACTAGCCATCAGACTTTCTTGCACATACTTTCTCTACTTACTTTATTTAATCATTTTATATGTACATCTAATGGCTTTAAAAGTTAATAATTGTTGGTTTCACATTTTGTGCTATTATAATCAAACCCTGTACTTTTAAATTGACAGAAAGATATTTCAAGTCATAAATTTAAACATTTTTTTTGCAAAGAGTTTTGAGACCTTTGGATTTTTTTTTGGTATAATATTTTAAAAATCAACTAACAACCTTCAATGCTCGCAAATGAAAATATAATCCCTAGCGAGAATACTGGACATAATAACATTAGTTGTTTATAAAAAAAATATTAGGGAGAGTTGTATCATTACAGGAAGCAGTTGTTCAAGACTCTGAAAATTATATAAGTGTATTTATTACCTAATCACTCTTCAAGGTAGACAAACAAAATGGCACACTTCGAAATCACGGAAGCATATTTTTATTTATTTACATTTCAATCTAAAGAGCCTTTTGAATGATTAATGTCAAAATGACGAAGAGTATAGTTATAGACGTGATTCTTTAACAGTTTTATTATGATTTGAGGTTGATGTTTGTATTGAACAAAAAAGATTAAGCTGTTTTTTTTATATATATTTTCAAATTAAACCAATTCATTCGCACAAATCAATACACCATTATTTTAATGTTTACTTCTGCCATTTGAATTGCTTTGCTATAACTAAATCATGGTGTTTTACAAAAGCCTAGATTCTTCTCTTCTTTTTACACTTTCCAAGCAAATCGGGATTTTTCAGTGTGATAATTACAAATCAGGCCTTAAGAGAAGAATATTTGCCAGCATTTCATTAGTGATATTTACACTTATTTCCACCACTTTTAGAGTATTTTACATATGCTGTTCAGGCAACCCGTGGATGAAAAGGGGACTGAACCAAGAGATATTTTCACTCCAATGTACCATTCAATTGATATGTGTATCAGTTCATTTAGCAAAAATGTGGCACAGTTCTTTCGACTTTTTGATCCTGTATACATTTACAAATAACATAGTTTTGAAACATTTTTCAAAATATGCTTTGTTTTGGACAATCACGGGTGACAATTTTTAAATTTGTTCCTATTAAAATCTGAAAATCTCATTGAAATAGTTTTATATTTAATTTTTTTTTCAGGCACCTTTTGGCTCATTTCATATACAATTTTGTACATTTGGGTTACAAATGTTGGAAAACTTATTCGTTTATCATTTACCATAACACTGATTTATGATTTACTTAATCATCTCATATGCATGCAATTCTGTGCATTTCTTGAATATTTGAGGTAGAATTTATATTTTAAATATTGAATTAGTAATTCAAAAGCTAACGACCAGCGTTTTTTTCAGATCGCTGTTTATCAAATTACACTTACAGGTAAAATATAAGAAAAAAATTACAAACTTAATCACCCAACACAGCAGAGTTATCAGTATGGCAATGGTGGCAAATAAACTCTACAACGTACAACTTTTAGTTATTTTCATCGGGCTGTTCGTAAATTTAGTCTCTTGGCTTTATCTACTTGTTGATGAAGTTCAAAATACCAGCAGATCACCTGTTGCCCCTGGCTTGCTCCGACTGGCAGACAGCATGTGGCAAATTTGTGTCATCTACTTCATCTCATCCTCATGCCAGCTCACTAAGCATGAGGTAAATCAAATTAAAAAAGTGAAATGTAAAGTCAGTAAGAGTCAAAATAAACATGTAGTTTGATAGATACCTATCATCCTGGTCTGCCTATCCTTGCTGTTTTTTGTCTGTCAGGCGCATTTTGGTATTTTACCATCTTCAGTGTGTCCGATGCAGACAAAAAACTTCACTTTACATAATCACACATTGAATCCCACTTTGAGAGGACTAAGCAGACAAGGGTGATATTCTTTATAATATTAATAAGAGGAATCATTAAAATATTTACAAGTAAATTGCACATTGTAAACAATTTAAATTGATTTATAATTATGAAAAATTAACAAGCGGGATTCGAACCCAATTTATACCCTGGTGCTCTAACCACTTAATCTATCGTGACACAAACTCATCATCTCATCCTATAAATTTTTCAAGTTCCCCTCTTTTTGGCAAATATTCAAATTTTGTGTAATCGGACTGGATTATCGGCGAACAGGAAGCAGTCATGGGGAGCTGTTAGTGAAGTGTAGATACTTCACTCTCAGTACTTTATTAATCGATATGTTTTAGTTGGTCTTAGTTAACCTACGACTTCAATTTATTTATAATTTTTATGTAAAGTTGGTCGAGTTGAAAAATTAATGTCACAAGCCAGAGGTCATGGGTTCGAGTCCCATTCATGTCATTAATTTTGCATCTCAACCACACTTTACACAAAAACTAAAAATCATTATTCATATTATAATTCTAAAACATATGGATTACTAATCAATACTAATGACTAAAGCTATTTGGTGAATGAATGTCAGGAAAAGGTTCAATACTGTCAGTTAAATATTTGATGCCAGGTTGACAAAGTCAAATGGGTCGGAAAAATACAATTCACACAGATCAACCTAAGCGAGACCAGAAATTACCTCAAGCTAAAGATATTGGTTTACTATTTACTATTTTAGTCACACTAGGCTTACTACCTTACAATACTAATTTAGATATAACAGTGCAGTCAAGAATAAAATATTTGATAGTCTCCTCCATTCTAGAAACTATACATTTGTCTTCAGTCATCATTATTGCTTACACATCAACCGCAGATTCTAAATTAAAATATTACCTGAATGTTGTCAATGCGTTATTTGTTTATGTGCCAGTACTCATTTATATTCCAACAGTTAAAACAGATATTATTAAATATAGAAAGTTGTTATATAAAATAAGATTAATATATACAAAACGAGTTAATTTGTTTTATTCAAAATTTATCTCTGTGTTTAACGTGACTTGCATTATTATGAACTTAATGCCTTCAATTGCGACTTATGAAACTTCATTGCTTTATAAATATATTATGACTTCAATAGCTATTCAGAGATTTTATATGCAATCAATTTGTGTGCAATTCTGCACTTACCAAAATGTTTTATCAGTTGGTTTACAAGCACTAACATTAGATTTAGACAAAAGCAATGCAAATATCGCCTATGTACTTCACAATCATACTGAATTGACGGACCACTCATATATCTGTATAAAGATATTTTCTCGTTTTATACTTGTAGCAATTCCTATGTGCTCCTTCTCACTTGTTTATTCAATATATTATGCAATAGAGGACATTGGTGGATCTAGAACTTTTCTTGCCGTTTCTGGATTTATTTTTAGTATTTATAATTTAGTTATTATAATCTCCATCTGTAGAGCTTGTGAAATGGTAAAAGCAAAGGTGAGAAATCGTTGTTTAACTAAAAAAACAAAATAATTTCAGTTTATTTTCTTATTCAAAATATTATCTTTTTTATTTGTTATTTAATTATCATTTGTTTATTTTATACTAAATTCATTCATATAATTTATATTCATATAATTTCTTATGCAGTTAATTTTTATATTTCATGAATTATTTTTGATTTATTATTAAATTTGTCATCATTTGTCAATTAAAGCATTTCTTATTTAATTATACTAAATTTGTTGTAAATTAGAAAATTTAATCAATCGTCATTTAAAATTATCTAAGCAAGTGTTGTTTATTATTATCTTTTTTGTAAACAATAATACAAATAATTAACATGTGTATAAATAAATCAACCAGCAATAAACTATAGTTGTTATGCATTTATATAAACTATAGTTATATAAATCGATAAGAAATAACTTTGTCAACTATGCACAAATCAATATTACAAATGATCAAAGTCAATTCTTCATGAATTTGAAGACCTCAGGGTTCTTGAATACATATGGCAAATTTGGTGTCCAATGTTCTCCTCTTAAGACAATGTCCCATTGCTGCAGCACAAAAATTGGGCAGTCCAGGACGATATGCTTCGATTTGGAGGATGTTTATCGGACAGTATCGTGCATCGTCCTCAAATAAATTAAATCTCTTCAAGTAAGCCTTGGTTTTCCCATGACTGCTGAGAAATTGCATCTTCCAAGTAGTTGAGATTTGAGTTTTCAGATGAGACGAGATGGTTGAAAAGAAGTTTTTTGTGTTGGATACATTAATGGGTGTAACCCCACATTTCTTCCCACTTTTTTTCCATTTCTCAATTTAGGGCTGCCTGGATATAAGTTGCGGGAACATGGTGAAACGTCGAATGAAGACTTTCTTCTAGAGCAGCAACTTTTGCTTCCGCACCTGCCTCTTCATTCTCTCAATGGCCAACATGATCTTTAATCCACATGATGGATATCTTCCTTCCCATACTGGCAAGCCATGAAACCAGGAATCTGATGCCTTCATTAGTCCTCATGTGGTTTCTTACGTTTTGCGTTGCCTTTTGAGGAACTTCACTATCTATCCATAATACTAGTTGCCTGGAACGTCACACAATTGCAACCAGTTCAACACTGTATATAGCTGGAATCTCAGCCTGATTGTTTCAGCACCAACCCTGAAGTTTGCGATGGACATTGCTGTGTTCATGTTTATTATAATTCATAAATTGTAGGACTTATTTATTTTGTAAACATGTTTAGTTTTTCATTATGCAAGTATAATAGGAATAATTTCTGAGGAAACAAGTAATTCCTGTTGTATAGTTCGGCTTAATATCCAATTTCCCTTTGGATGCTGCAAAACCCTTTACAATACCTTTTACATATTACTACCTATTAAAATTCCATGGACTGTAGCGGGATATGGCAATACAAATCAGTTACTTTTATCTCTCAACCACCCAAGTCCTTTACTTTATTGATTATATCAAACTTTTTTTTTACTGATGGACAGTAGTAAACTGGGCCAATCCTCTCCCTGTTCTTAAACCCACCCTATTAAGGAGAAGGGCATTGGTAGCCACAACTTTTTTTTTTGAACCCTGTGTGTGCGTGCGCGTGTGTGTGTGATCAAACCCCTGTGTGGTGATATGAACTCTGTTGTTGCTCACATCAGTAAATTTGGCCAAGTGTAGCTTTGGTTCCCTTTCTTCACAGCTGGCCCAATTTCCCACAGTCCCCATTGTTGGCCGATAATAAAGCCCATATAGCAATACACAGGTTCAAGCATAACTAAACATTGAATTAATTTACAATCGCCCCTTTAGATACGGTTTTGGTTGCAGGCAGAAAAATTTAACCAGGCTCTGTTTCGTTTGATGACGGAGAGCAGTGAATTGTGTAAAAATGTAAGTGTGTAAAGCATTAAGTACCGTATAACAACTGCTTAAATATCCCTTTTAATACATACAATAATATCGATCTTTTTTTATTCCAGGGAAAGTTACAGCTTCATTTGACAATGAATCAGACAATAAATTTCACTGCTTGTGGATTTTTTACGTTAGGATATCCTCTTGTAACATCTGTAAGTATTAGGCTGTAGCATATTTTCTAAAAGAAATTTGTAAAGTTTAAATATTATCTCAAATTTGTTCGAAATAATATTTTTTATTATCCTATTTATTATTTTCTTTATAGATAATTGCTGCAGCTACAACATACTTGGTGATTCTAGTCCAGTTCAGCATGCCGTCCAATTAAATTGAATAATATGTTATAAATTATGAGTAAAAGTATGAATGTAATAATGTAATGTATGAAATTTTTCTTTTAATAAAACTAAATGCAGCTATATGTGTTTATTTTTGAATCATCCTCGCTTAAGAACCTACAAATAAATCAAGGATGAAACAGAGGCTGCAAATCATACGAGTGAAATAGAAATTACCATTGTTAAACTTTTTTAAATTAATTCAATAACAGTCTGAAACCATCATGAATTAATTATTTTCATAATTATTGTTTTACAGGAATAGAAGCATCTTCCTTGTTGTCCTTTGAAGGGAGGCTGAATTGTACAAGAATGACCAGGTAAGTGGTTGCCGCAGCGATCATCTGACAACAAAAATAGCTTAGTTTCACTATTTGCCTGAATTTTCACGATATAAAATTATCAAAATGGTCCTCACAGAAGCTACGAAGGAGTAGTTCAAAGTGAAAAATCCGCATGCACTGAAATTTATAGTTTGTTTCATTATGACGTAAAGCTGTAATTTTTTCTGAAACAAAAAAGCATAAAGATATACCCATGGAAAGATAAGTAAGCATGTAGTTGGTACATTACAAGATAGATAAGTTAATAGATGAGGGAACAGATAATATAATAAAACTCAAAAGCACAAACATAGATATTGATTGATTGATGGGTGATTGGATATATAAATATATTAGTAAATTGATATACAGTACAGTATTCAGGGAGATAAATGGATAGAACCAATAAATTGGAGATTTATTATTTGATAGAAGCGATGGCAGTAAAATTTTCATAGTTTATAGAATTATTTATTTTTTAAGAGTAGGACATGAAGATTTTTTAGAAATTAAAATGTAACCTCAACATATACATAGTTTAATGCCCAAGTCATATTTCCCACACTAGCGGTTCCGAGTTTCAATTCCAGCAGTTATATGATGAATGGCATTTTAATTGATAATAGAATGAAAATTGTATTGTTTGTCCCCTCGTCCGCAAAACCCAATGGGTAGTCAGATGTTAAGCCCTCCTGTATGACAGGAATTACTTTACTTCACTTTTATATAGTTGAATGTTTAGATCAACTTTTAAAAGAATCAAACAAAGAAAATGGGTATGAAAATAGTGATTTTTCCAGGACTAGACTAACATTTCTGCATAGGTGATCCCTCTCCTCCATTTGTTTGAATAGCACAGAGTTAAATTCCTTTGTCTGTAAAAAAAGTTTAATTTTAATATATCTTAAAAGAAGTACTGGAAAATTTTTGTACTTAATATAAGTTTGTTATTAAGTGCATATTATTATCTATACAATTATTATAACTGATTAAAGAAACATACCTTTTCCTTGATTTGTTCCGAAAGTCTCACTATTATAAGCATTGTCAATATTTGGTAGATGATAAGTGGCATTCGAGAGGTAATCGCAAGTATATTTTCATAATTTAATAAGTCTAATATCCAACTGTAAGTAGAACACATGAAGTAGGTGAACGTTTTGACCGTTATCAAAAATATTTGGGGCGAAAATATTTTATTATTTAACGTAGTTAGTTCTAATATAATTTGAAGACTTTTGCAATATTTTTCATGGCGTGCTTGAGTTCTGTAGAAGTCCTTTACTAATGATTTGAGTCGACTGAGCACAATGTGGCCAAAGGTGCAATATTGCATTACAATGAATGCTAACCAAAGTTCACTTACAAGAGAAAGTATAAAGGAATAGTAAATCCTAACATCGTTTTCATTAAGACTTAATAGCATGCCGATAAAATAAGCCAAATTAATAATTATAATGATGGACAAATATTTTTTGTTATATGGAGAATTTACTTTCATCCAAAAATAAGGCATTTTTAAAAAGCCTGTTAGCATTCTGTTTATAAGAACTTTGTTTTTTACTAAGATGAACAAATGCAGAATAATACAAAAATTTGTCAGACTATTTTGTAAATAATATAATTCTTTATTGTATCCAGTTTGAAGCCATGGTAAATGCAAAAGGGCGTAGTATAGATGGTATGATAAACCTAGGCCGACAAGTAGAGATGTCAAAATTACAGAATAAATACACCAGGGCAAAGAAAATGTTGTATCTAAATTAAAAGGAAACAGGCCCATGAGTCTGGAAAGGAATATAAGAGGGCTCAATTCCTTCCACAAAATTGTAGATAGTAAAATTTCAAATTCAGCCATCTATATAGTTAAATTTTGACAGAGAAAACCCAAATCAACTGATTGACCAGAAGGAAAAAATACAAATGGGTGTTTGTTACTCCTTTTTGAGATTGATAGAAATACTATAATTTAACACACAAAAAAAAGTCAAATTAAACCATTAACAAACACAAAAGGCAGATGGAAATAAATGAGCACCATAAATCATGGTCATCAGAGGTCAAGTGAATTTGACTGTATATTTGCAGTGTAAATGTGGAAATGGATATTGATTTTGTTAAATCAAATATTATTCATGGAATAATAAATGTTAGAAACAACAATTTCAAAATAAATTGTACACATACTTTCTGCTACTTACATCTGATCATTCGTTAAATTAATTACAACTGACACTTCAAAAAAATCATCTTGAATGCAGTAACTACCAAATTTAAATTACATATTTATTTTCTTAAAATATGAATAGATGTACAGATGAAATATTGGAAAGATAGATAGATATACAGGTAGATTCATATATACATATTAATAATACAAGAATCACTGGAAGGGTAGATATATCACATAAATTTTTTTGATGGTGTCTATTCTGATTTTATTGAACTTCATAATAAGATGATGAGAAATAATTAAATTCTCTTTTCCACAATAAGAATTTATTCCATCAGATGTGTTTCGGTCTAATATAGACCATCTTCAGTGCCTTTTTTTATATCAAGTGGTATGACGGTTTTTTAGATTGTTATAAGTTTAAAAGGACTAACAATGTTTTCTTATATTTTGACCTCAACAGTTAATCTTATGATTCTTCCTTCTTGAAGGTGGGATAATAGGTTGAGGGTTAGGGATAAGTTTTGTTTCTAGTCTGAATAAGTACCACACTAGCTCTTTTTTTTTTAAATAAATTGTTATAAAATATTAATGACTGACGACCACTTTTTTAACCATTGCGTTAACTCACCTGAGGAAGGATTAAAATAAATCCGAAACGTTGTGGATAAAAACTGGTTGTGGTTTTTTGAGATGACCTATTATCCCACCTTCAAGAAGGAAGAATCATAAGTTTAAAGGACTATGGATTATATTTTAAATGTTTATAGTTTTCAGTAAAATTGCCATTTCTATGAAGACACTCCCAAAGCGTCCTGAGCACAAAAAGATAATGAAATGGTAGAATATTGTATTTCTTAAACAGTGGTAGCGAACTTACAGTTCTATTACAAAACATTATCCTTAAAATTCTTGTTTGAATTACAGAGATAGGACTGGTCACTTTCATAGGCATTCCCCCAACAAACTAACCATACTGGAACTGGGTAAGGGCTTTAAGAAGGAAGGTTCTATTGCATTTATTGCATAAAAAGTATATCTTCTTAGACCATGCAACAACTTTTTTTAACTATCTCAGTGTGTGCAAACCACTTAATATCGAACTATATCTAATCAAACAGCAAAGCATACAAATTTGGATTTCATACTAACAGATGAACGATTATGTGAAAATCATTGCTAAAAAAATTAAGGTAGCTAACTATACGCTCTTCTACCTCCTACCACACACATTCTGAATATATCATCAACAAAGGCCATCAGGATACCTTTCAGGACTTGGCGAGACAGTAAATCATTAATGAAAAGCAAAAAAAGGATTGGACCCAGCTCCGATCCCTGAGGTATTCCACATATTTTCTGTGTTGTCTATTCTCACACATTGCCTTCAATTTGTTAACATAAGACTGGAACCAATGCAAGGAGACAACTTTAATTTTGATTTTGAGCCAAAAAAAGGAAGGAGTCTGTTATTAATTAATTTTTCAAAAAGTTTGGCAATCACAAGAATGAAATAGGTCGATAGTTTGATTTGTCTTTAAGTTTAACATTCCGTTTTTGAAATCGATATCACAACAGCATGTTTGAGAACTTCCGGAAAAACGACGAAATTACTTTTATATTTTCACGTTCTCTTGATATTTTACAGTGATTTAGTCACAGACTGAAATAAACAAAATTTTCTTATGTATCAGCCGTATTTGATCAAAATCAGTAAATTTTTGTTTATTCAAAAAATTTGTCCTCGGCTGTTTTAGGAGGAACTTGCTCGCCACCAAAAATGCGAAGGGAATTGGTCGAATAATAAAATTTACAATGTTAGTGGATGAGTAGTGAGAATGGCAAAACCAGATAGTCAAGATCACGAAAAAACGGGCGATTAATCCAATTTCTTCATCAAATATCGATGGGTTAAAGAAGAAGTACGTGCTTTCCTCCACTTTAATTTGATTATTGTACCACGCCTATTTCTAAAATTATCGTGATACGCGATTCTTTCGGACTAGCAAAAACGTTCACCTCTCTGCAATTTCGTCAAAATCATTGAAACACGTTTTAAAAATTAAAAAAACCATTTATACTAGATAAAATCAAAATTGATCTATGAAAGAAAAAAGTTTTCAACGGTTGGATACTTGCCAAGACATGTGCTAAAAAGACATGGTAAAACGTGTAACAAACATGAACTATGAAAAACATATTTTCAATTTAGCACATTTTCCTGGTTAGAAGCTCATAATACATTTGCTATAACGCCTTAATAATTACAATTTAAGAACCAAAAAATTGAAAAATTTCTTATTAATCTCCTTTATCATATTTGAAAATTTGCAGTAAAACAGAATTATGAACTTTTCTGCAACAATTTCTGCGATGCGTCATCACGGAGGTTGACAAGCAAAACCAACGATAGGACATACCAGGATGCTGGATATGATGTAAAACAGAAGGTGGAAAAATTGTTGCTAACTTTTAAAAATTAATTGTTAAATCCTTACCTTTTTATTAGTGTATTTATAGTTTTATTAATTTAAAAAAACTGGACAATTCATTCAATTGAAGCAAAAGGTATACCGCTAGAAAGCTTATTAAACGAAGAAGTTATTGTGAAATTTGCCAATCTCGACCGCGAATTTTTCCAACGAGATTGCAAATTTATTATTTTATGAACATTGCTCCACAAAAAAAAATGGCGCACTATGGAATGTGTGGTGATTATTAGTGACCGTTAATCGATAATTATTCCGAAATCGTGAGGTGCGGTCTGGTGTGATGTAGGTTTGAGAAAAACATTTTCTTTATCGTGCCAACGTTTCGATCTTTATTGAGATCATCTTCAGGGCCTGGGATTTACAAACATTGTTTACATTTAACAAATATACGTAGGATGTGGAAAAAGTGAATTTATACAATGCAAAATATATATATATTTTTTTTATATTCAATCAAAGTATTTCTACCCGACACGCAAGAATGGCACAATTACACAGAAGACAAACACTTTGAGAGAGTAGAAATACTTTGATTGGATATAATTCATTAACATCTCCACAATGTAAATTATCAACAAGGGCAGTTAATCCTTTAAAAATGCCTTTATCCACTTTTTTGTTGGTGGCATAAAACAAAACGATTACGAAAATGCCCATGATCAGCGGGCAAGTTGCCTATGCCATTACACTCACTCGTTAAGGATGGAAGAAATCAGCGTTACACTGCGAGAGTTTTAGATTTGCTTAAAACGACAGTTGTCGGTCATTCAGCGGTACAAGGAGACTGCAAGGTGAACTCGGAGACCGGATCGGGATGCCTAAGAGTGAGGGGACCAACTGACGACCTATTTATCAGATTTCACATAACGTTCCACTGCTTCTGAAACGTCTCAAAGACTTTCAGATATGCTAGATATGTCTGTTTAGTGTGGAAATAATAAGAAGGAAACTAGCAGAAGTGAGTCTATATCCATATAAGGTCAGCAACGGGTCCAGCGCTTACCAGTGTTCATCGTCGGGGGTAGAAACAATAATTAAGGAATGTTATGTTTTCAGACGATACCCTGTTTTCTCTCCATTTACCAGATGGACGTCTTCGAGTTTATCGGGCAACTGTACATCTCTACAGCCAATGCATTGCCGGAAGAGGGTTGTTCGGAGGTGGTTCAATTATGGGGTGTTGAGTGGAATTTCTTTGGAAGTAATAGAACGTCACTTAATGCATAAATCTACGTGACAGAAATTCTTGAGGAATATGTAGTGTCTTTGCTCCGTTTATTGGCGAGCGATTTTTGTTCACGCAAGATAATGCAAGACCAACTGTTGACGCCCTGCCCGTAGTCCTGATTTGAACTCCATTGAGTACTTTTGGGACGAGCTCGGACATGGAGTAAAATGAAGAAATAACCCTCCAACAACCTTAGTTGAGCTGAAAGTTACGTTAGTTGAGATTTGGGATGAAATTCCTCCTGAAGTTAAATGCTTAATTATGAGCATGCTGAAAGGTTTATTGTGTGTAATAAAAGCAAAAGGAGGCAAAACACCCTATTAAAGATTGTTAAGTTTGTTTTATAATGTTTTATGTTCATATACAAAAGTGATTTTTTTCTTTTTTTAATTAATTTTTTCGTTTTTGAAAGATATATTTGTTTCCCATTAACGAAATTTTTTAATAAATACCTGAATTATAAAATATATCGGTGTTAACATTACTGAAAAGGCAAGTATATAAAAACAATATCACAATTAAAATTGGGCCACATTTTTTGTGGGGCAGTTTATTTTAAATTTAGCAGTTTTTGAAAGATTTAGTGTTTGTTTTAATAGCAAAACTTTAAATTGAAGGTTCTAGAAGGGTGTCTTAAAGGAAATTTAATGCTCTTTTCAATGTTGTTGTTTTTTATATCTCCAAAAATGAATAATTCAGGAGCTACGAGTAGATTTATGAAGAAAACTGTAGACAGTTGAAAAAAGTAAAATGTTGAATATCTGCGAAAGGGTTGAGAATCAGACCATAATTCGTACGAACTTTTTGATCACTCTAGAGGTGTGAAATTCACTGGCAAAGTTTGTGACGGGAATAGGACACCTTGTATAACATATTTTGCAACTAATCCTTGAAACAATGTTTTTCCAAACTTTTCACCAAACGATGATGAGATAGAAAAGGACTGTCAGGAATTCAATATAGACCCTAGAAAAGTTATTCTCATGATTATAGTAAAATGCTACTGGCATGTAAAAAATCCATTACATAGAAACTCCAGGGAAGAGACTTTATGTAAGGAATCGGAGTTCTCGAATGAAAAATAGATTAAAAAAGTTGTTTATTGCATTTTTCTGTTACATAACAACCCTCTCGAGACCAATGTCGATTTAAATGCAAGCCCTGTGAAGGTTAGAGGCCCGTCCAGTACCAGTTCCACCACTTTTGTATAACTAGCAACGGCGTCAAGAATCAGGAGATCATTCCGAGGATTGTGCTCGTCCAGGAAACGGTTCACGAAATGTCCAATGAATTGAAGGTTCGTATTATCTATCCATCCTACACGCTTATGTATTATCTTTTACTGTGCGTATATATTCTAAAATTTAAGATAAGAGAAGTTATCTCTTATCTCGTATTTATAACATTCATTATATATTAGTTTTTTTTAGATCACTAACTTTTTTTTCAGTTACAAATATTATTTTTAATTTGGTCAATTTGGTTTTATAGTATATGTCAGGGTTTGGGAATGAGTTTAGCTCGGAGGATCCCAGATGCCCAGGTGCCCTGCCTCAAGGGCAGAACAACCCTCAGAAGTGCCCTTACGGTCTGTACGCTGAACAGCTATCCGGCGCTGCATTCACAGGTTCGATTTTACTCAATTTTAAATTTTGAGAGCCGTGCCAGTAGTTAAGGATTTTCGTAAAAGATAATTTATTCAGGTTTAACTTTATTCCTCAGTAAACCGGATTCCTGACGTATTCGAACAAAAATCTTTGGGCAGTTGCCAATTCAGCCCCTCCTAAGCCAAAAACTTTATTTTTTATTATTTTTTTTATATCTGTTTCAAAAATATTATTTACTTGTCAAGACTGAATTTTGCGTGTTTTTCCGTTTTTCTTTGGTTTCGTTCCTTAAATGGTTGAACCAATGAAATTAATACAAGTTCGTGGTTTTTTATTTTATAATTTTGGCTTATAAAGGATTGTCAAAATAACATATTTAGATGTAAAAAAACTAGTGTTAATTTTTAAAAAATTTCACAATCTGATGAAGTATAGCCTAGTTTATTTTTAACTCTTGTTTTTAGTCACGAATAATCTGTATCTCGGTATGTTATGGATGAAAAAAACAAATTCAATTGTTATCTGCCAAGCTTTCGACTATTCAGGTTAAAACAATCTTAAAGATGTCTACAAATTGACATAATTATGTTTTTAATAGACGGTTTCAAATTTCTTTGACGCCCTACCCAGTCACATCATTGCCAAGAACTGTTGTCACAAATTGTTTTGCCATCGTGATGACCTTAAAATAGGTCGAAAGCTTAGCAGATAACAATTAAATTGAGAATAAATTGAATTTGTTTTTTCATCCGAGATCCAGATTATTCGTGAGTAAAAAAGTGGTAGATACACTTCATTAGATCTCGTTTTTATTGATGTATTCTAGCTTGCGTTCTGCATTTTTCTATTATTTCTATTCATCACCAATTTTGCTACATTTGTCTGCAATTTTATTATGCTAGTAAACCTAAATCATCTTGAAATATGACTTTTTTTCACTGTAAATTTTGTTTACTTCTTGGAATACTTTATTCACCGTTTATTATTAATAAAAGTAAAGTGATGCCTGTCGTACAGGACGGCTTAATTACTACCCGTTGGGTGGGTGGGACGAAGAGTCAAAACCGCTATACTATACTTTTTCCAAATTATTGACAATTAAAATTCCATGGGCTATGCTGAGATTCGAACCCAGAACCGCTATTAAACACGGGACGGACTCTCTAACCACTCGGCCACCGTGTAGATAGATAATAAAGCAATAAGCAGTATAGATCATAGATGAGTGATCATAAGGTATAAATGAAATCATTAATCAAGTGTGTGGTGATTAGTGACCGTTTGTCGATATTTATTTAGAAATCGTGAGATGCGGTCTGGTGTGATGTGGGTTTCAGAAAAACATTTTTTTTTATCGTGCCAACGTTTCGATCTGCCAGACTGGCACTCTCAACACGACACGCAAGAATGGCACAATTACGCAGAAAACATATTGAGTCTGAAGATGATCTCAATAAAGGTCGAACGTGGCACGATAAAAAAAATATTTTTTTGAAACCTATATCACACCAAACCGCATCTCACGATTTCTAAACAATTGTTAATCAAGGTAGATAGATTAGGTTGTTCGGAAAATAGTGCCGATTTACGGTTATAAAATAAAAACAATTAAATTATTTTAAACATTTTTTCTTTATTAAAATACCATCCATCACCCTCAATACTCTTCTCCCAACGTGATGGCAACTTACGTACACTGTCTGAATAGAATTTTGAGTCCTTATTATTAAAAACTTTTATAAACTCATTTTCTAGCGACTTTTGATCAATAAAATTTTTATTTTTGTAAAACGTTGTTTAGGTAGTAAAAAAATGGTAGTCAGTAGGCGAGAAGTTTGGAGAATAGTGATGATGAGGCAGAACCTCATAAAGTCATAACCCAGATCCAATAGTTTTCGTATTGTCACATGTGAGACATGGGGTCGAGCGTTGATGTGTAACCGAATCTGCCTTTTCCGATTGACCAAAGATGGTTTCAATAATGCCAATTTCTGGTGCATTGTTTCAATTTGAAAGCATACATTTCGGCATTGATTGTTTTGCCAGGATTCGAGAAGCTGTAGTAAATCAGCCCACCAATGAGTCACCATCGCTTTTTTTTATGGGTTGGGGGCTTTGGTGTTGCTTGTGTCGAGCCCCTGTCCAGAACGTCTGCTGTTATCGTAGAGAATCATCAAGGAAAGAAATGTTGCGCAGACTTCATAACGATGATTTTTTTTGGCGGTCGTTAAAGGCGTGAGGACCCAACTTTCGAGCTTTTTCGCCTTTCCAATTGCCTTAGGGGGCAGCGACGGTCGATTTGCTAACTGGAAGATACTCTGTAAGTACTCGAACAGTTCTGAGAGTTTCTTCGGCCAAAGCTTGCAGAATATCATCATCTGGGGAAGAAATCCTTCCACGACCTTTTTTCTCTTCAAGGCTGAAGTCTCCCGTCGAAATTTTTTAAACCATCTCTGAACAGCGCTCTCACTCACTCACCATCGCCACAGACTTCAATGTTTCTGGCTGTTTGGTCACCGTTTCGACCGAGTTTAAACTAGTAAAAAGAAATTACGAAAATTTCGAAAATTACGCGAAAATCACTCGTTGACGTCTTATTAAAGACTGAATTATCCCCAAGTAATGAAATGCTACTGAAATAAACAAACATTTTTGTTTGGAAGAGAATTTAAAAGTTTTGACATTCGTACAGAAGGATAATCCATCAAATATTAACAGTTTATTCTATAGAAGGGTAATTGAAAGAAAACACGAAAACCTGCATTATTTTCCGGACAACCCAATACGTGAATAATAATTATATGATTAGATAGACAAATGGATATGCACAATGGAATGGGAATTATTGCCCTTAGATGTTTGGAATTCGTCTTGTGCATATGAAAGTTTGTAAAACAGCAGCTAAACTTTTAGCGTTGCCGGAAATTTTTTATCCTCTGTCATAAATGATCTTCACTGAACATGGCGAAATACGGGCGAATGACCATCAATTTGCAAATGGTCCGACCAAACTTTCCCAATCGCCCATTCTTTTCACATAAACTACGCCCTACACGTTTTTATAATATTACGGATAGATTTAGTCATAATTAAAATAAGACTGAGACATATTGAATGGGGTTTATAACATATCCGTAATGAAATAAATAAAAACACAATTAACACTAACAAATGTATTTACTGAATAGAACCCCCCACGAATATATTGGCAAAACTTTGATACAAAAAAAAATAAATAAATATTTATAACTAGAGACCGGATTTTTGTGCAGTAAAAATTGCCAAAATATGCAGTTGAAAGCCCTGAAATATGTAATAATATGCAGTATTAATACGTTAAAATATGCAATGATATACAGTAAACCAGTTTTTTTACTTTCATAGTAACTTTAAACAGAAATATAGATAATTAAACGAAATAGTTATTAAAACTCTTTAAAACTAAAAATAATTAAAATTCACATGTGTGTATATATAATATATAGTTTACATTTAACAAAAATATTTTCTCACTTAATTAATTAAATTATATATTTTATTCTAATGGAGTGTAATAAATGCTAATAAAGAAGTTCTCTAAATTGTCTTCCGTGAAATTGTGCCTATGGTCACTTTGGCCTCTTTCAGATGAGGTGGTTTGGTTGATTCACCTAATTTGCCCAGTTCACTTTCAACTAGTTTACTGCCATATGAAGACTCTTTCTTTGCTGGTTTCACACCAGGCAACTTGTGGAATCTACCTATCTTCCCAACGAGAGGTCAGTACAATGTTAGAACCCGAGGAAGCACTTCTTGTGCTTGCTCTTCTGCAAAAAGAAACGCAAAAAAGGAGAAAACCCAGTAAAGAAAAGTGAGGGTTTATCGGTTGTTATAAAATTGGGAAATGGGCGCTTTCTCTCAAATACTGTTGTGCTACTTCCCTCCAAGCTTCGCTTCTTTTAATTTCTACTTCTCACACCTCAAGTCCTATATCACGTCTAATACGAATATCTTCAATGAACTGCTCCACTTTGAACTTGCAATTGCAATGCTTTCCATGGTGAACTAGGCGGCTGGTGTGAATGACAAATGCTGAGCAGTATCTTTTGAGTTGAGTCAACCAGTGGGGATGAGAACGTGAGCAGCACTTGTGCCTACTGGCCACCCACCTGGGCGGAAGAGTTGGCTGCATGTGAATATAATATTTTAAATAATTTGAACGACAAATGCGATTTAATGTTAAAAATTCCTTCAAACATGCGATATTGTTCAAATAAGCAATTTTATGCAATATTCTTCAAATATGCAAAAATATGCTCTATAAAATTTAACCTACGGCTTCCTAGATACATGATTAGGATAGATAATTGATTTCCTCAGTCGTATGTGACAGCAAACAAAATATGCAACTGCATAAAAATCCAGTCTCTATTTATAACACAATAATCTCACCAATCTTATGCTATGGAACTCCGGCTAACACTCAAATCTGCCAAATGTCCAGCTGGTGTAAAGCCATCTTAATTCCAAAGCCAACTTAATTATTCTTAATTAATATTAACAAATCGTAACAATAATGAAAAATCTTGTGTGTTATTTTAATGTTTAGATTTACAGGTTTTACATTTTATTTCATATTTTAGCCATTTAAACTGCATTTTAAACACTGATCATTTTCCTGATCCGACCAGTTTTATTATATTTTACTGGTTGCATTTCAAAAAATTATTGCATCAAACTGCAAATTGTTCAAATTTTTAATGTTAATTAAAAACAGTTAACCCTTACAAAAAAAAAAAAAAATTACAGCACCAAGAGAGCACAATGAAAGGTCTTGGCTTTATAGGATCAAACCATCCGTTCTTCATCTCCCTTATACCAGAGAAAATTATGCCTTTAGCCCCAAAAACTTTGGTAATCACGTAAACGAAGAATTAGAGTTGGATACACCAAGTCCAAACCAGGTAATTAAGTTCAAGATTTTATTCTATTTCTACAAATTTTTTGTTTTTGTACACAAAAATGAGATAGATGATATTTTAGACGAGATGGGCACCTTTTCCGCTACCTCCTTCCTCGAAGCAAGTCGACTGGAAAGACGGTCTTTTCCCCGTTGCCGAAGGAGGCAATTCTACGAGCAGATCAGGCCTCTGCATCTATGTCTATAGCTGCAATGTGTCAATGCAGAACAAAGCTGTCTATAATGCAGATGGAGATTTTCTATTAGGTGAAACTTTCTTAAAATTCATGTCAAGAAGAATCCTTTTGCCAATAACAATCTATCATCAGTAATTTTACAAAAAATTTGTTTATCTAGTCCCACAACTAGGTGTTCTGAATGTTACTACTGAATTTGGAAAAATGACAGTGAATCCAGGAGAAATTTGTGTAATTCAGGTATTGTTGCCTATTTAATCAAAATAATCCTTTATGTCACATTGAAATTTTTAGTGTCTTTGAATTTAATAATTAACTAATTTCTAAAAATGATTTAAAATTTGTACAGATTTTTATTACACTATGATTTGTTTATTTATTGGCTCAGTCTAAATATTTCATGATCTTTAACTATTTTCATTTTTTATTTAGCAAGGTATAAAATTCAGCATAGCAGTTAATGAACCAAGCAGGGGTTACGTGTTAGAAGTTTATGGATCACACTTCCAACTGCCTCAACTTGGACCTATAGGTATTTAAATTACAGTCTTTAAAATTAAAATTAAAATATCTAACTGACCATTCCAGGTGCTAATGGTCTGGCAAACCCAAGAGATTTCTTAACTCCAACAGCATGGTATGAGGATGTCACTGCAGAATACAAAATATGTGGAAAATTCTGTTCAAAATGGTGGAGTGTCAAACAGAATCATTCACCGTTCAACGTGGTGGCTTGGCATGGGAATTATTGCCCTTACAAATATAATCTTGACAATTTCATGACCATCAATACAGTTTCTTATGATCACTGTGTAAATGCAATGTTCTACGAGCCTCTATCATTTTTTTTCCTTTCCACTTAAATTTTCTTCTTATTTTAGGACCCGTCGATTTTCACAGTTTTAACCTGCCCATCAAACAAACCAGGAACAGCTATAGCCGATTTTGTTATTTTCCCACCAAGATGGTCCGTTGCAGAACATACATTCAGACCTCCATATTATCACAGTGAGTTATTTAATAATATATTATCATTATGTCATAAATAAATTATTGTATTGCATTTCAGGAAATTGCATGAGTGAATACATGGGTCTCATCAAAGGATCTTATGAGGCTAAAGAAGATGGTTTTGCACCTGGTGGTGCATCCCTTCACCCCATCATGTCAGCTCATGGACCAGATCTTGCCTGCTTTGAAGGAGCTTCTAACGCTGAACTTAAACCATCAAGAGTTGCAGATGGAACTATGGTAATTGTGGTAATGGTAACTTTCTAATACATGCTAAATTCACTCATTTTAATTTTTCAGGCATTTATGTTTGAAACTTCTCTGCATTTAAAGACTTTCAACTGGACAAACCACTATGTCGATCACAATTATTACAAATGCTGGGCAGGACTGGAAAAACATTTTGACAAACTTAATTTAGCTTCAAAATGATATTCAGAAGAAAAAATTAGAAATGCATTTTAATAGTCTTTTTAGGCTAAATATGTTATTAATTAAAAATTTGATTGTCATAAAAAATAACAATAAACGCATAAATTCTTGTCTTTCATGTTCAGGAACTCTGTGTACATTAAATTTACTAATAATTACATTAAAAGTTACAAAAAAGTTGCTAGTCAATTTCTTTGCTGAAAGAATGCATCGTTCTGAGTATCAGGTCACGAAAAGCCTCTTTTAAACAAAGTTTTTCTTGAGGAATTTAATTCAAAATCTATGAAATTATGACAAACCCTGTTCTAAATGCAATAGTTATTGAAATTCGGAATTACATTCTTGAAATGTCCATTACGCAGGATATTTTTTGTTTTGGAATTTCATGTTATTTTAACTTCAACCACACAAATTCTGAATTATATGGTAGCTCAATTAATTATAAATATTAAAATAAGCATTTTTAGGATTTTCTTTGTAAGATTTCTCCCTGTTGCCTGTGAGGTGATATACCTGAATTTGGTCATTACTTATATTTTGGTCTGCCAGGTTGGGTTTGTCTGTCATACAAGTTTCAGCACTTTGCAATAATAATTACAACCAAATGGTGCGTACTTTACCAGTCAAGTATTGGGTGAGTCAATAAAAATGATCGTTTTCAATTTATTTTGAAAATCTTGTACCTTCCAATTTTATATTTGTTGGGATAGATTTAATAAGTGCTATTTGTATTTTTGTAATAAACAACTTTTGACAAATTTGATTTTTCCTTCTCACATTAAACATTTTTTACTTTATTCTTTGCAAAACCAGGTCTTAAAAGGATGGTAGTCTAGTTCTTATGCTGACATAAATTAGTCATGAGGGAATAGACCTTTTAACGAGTGAAAATTACTTCTTAGGTTTTTTACTGCATATTTAACCTCCAGAAATGGCCTACGAACGTAGAGAGGGACTGGACACGAAAACTGTCAACAGGGATTTAGCAAAAAGCACCCAACACAAGTTTCATGCCTGCATGATGTACTTAGTTTTGAATTTTTATAACGCTATCATAGGCAGAGGAATTCTCATAAATCCGTGAGAAATTCCAGATATAAGAATATCTATAGTTTCAAAAGGCTTGGTTGTTCAGAAACTGTGTGCAGCGAGATGAAAATTTTTGTCTTGACCAGTTAAGAGTTTCCATCGAAGTTAATACCTATGAAATGTAATCACAGAAATCAATGTGCTTTCTACAACTAAACTTCTTTTGAAAAAAGCCCAGCTTTTATTTTCAATGTAGAAATGGTAAAACCATTCGAATTTCAGTCAAAAACTTAATATTTAGCTACTTACAGGTTATCATATAAAAAGAGTATTTCTACAAAGGATCTTAAAAATAAATAGGAAATTGAAAGCGGTCGTTTTTATTACCCTCCCCAATAAAAATACAGTAATTAAGTCAGTCGGTGAGAAAGTTTCCTTTCGAACAGCTAACTGAATCACAATGTATTTATAATATTTATCAATAATCTGTTAAATAATCATTGACCAGTTCTGTTAGGAACTTTTATAATAAAAGAAACTTAGACGCCTTCACAGTTTTAAAACTACCTGTAAAAATTATGATCAATCACTTTTCTTTTTTTTTTCACTTGCACATTTTCCACACATTTGTATTGTTGCCAACTAGAGTACCTGACCTTATTAAAACATAAAATAAGAAATGAAGACATGGAAAGATACATTACAAAAAATTGATATCTCATTAGACTACATGTTATTAACAAGGATGTCTCATTTGTTTTTAATAATCATATTATTTCAAATTGTATATATATTTATATTTTCGATATAAATACATCTATCATATTTACAAAAATTTATTTTGTAGTAGCCGAATTCACCAAAAATATCTTTTTTTATGTTAGTATTAACTAGATATATCCCTATAATACAAAATAAATATAAAAGAAAAACAAATGTGCCAAATAAAAATTTCATTACACTAAACAAAAAACACAATTTGGAGAGCAATAACAATAAAAAAATAATAATAAAAAAAGTGTTGATATTTACAACATCAAAAATATAAATATGTACTATTTTACTAAAAAGAGACAAATTAATATTTTGAAGGACTGAAAATTTACAATATAAGTATCAAAATATATACAATTAAAAAATTTACAAAAAAATATGAAAAATTTTATTTCGAGTAAATTTTTAACTATAAAAGTAACAATATTCGCCACAAAAGTAAAATGTAATATACACTCATTTGAGAGGGAGGATTGCACATACATGAAACCAATTTTACAGCACACTTAACTTGAAAGTAAGTCATTACTTTAAACTAAATCACTAAATTCAATTTAATATATTATTTTGTACAATTCGGTTAATGCTACGTTTCAAGATTGTCTTCGTGCTGTGATGAAAAATACATAACAAGTCCACCAAACTCGCTGTCATTAGCTGGAGCCGCAGTTGTACCGCAAAACCGAGAAGCAGTAGTTTCCTGCTGTGCTCCTGTTGATGGGTTGTACTCAGCATAATCGTCATCTTGACTGGGTTGAACGGGCTGGAGAGGTGGTGGAGGTTGGAAACCGGGCTGACCCGGAAAATAACCACCTGGGGGCGGTTGAAACCCTTGTGGAGGTGGATGTTGACCATACATAAATCTATCTACAAACCTGTAAATTCGGAAAACTTTACACTAACCGAACACCTAAATTCTACTTTTTCCTTAATTACCTAGGGCGTTGCTGTGGTAAGCTGTTAGGCACCCGATGTATTGGGACTTGACCTGAAGGCTTGTAATGTGCTGGTTGGAGCATTCCTCTGATGACCGAATCTTGGGGAATTCCTTTAACAGAAGGTGCTGAGACCGGGTCGGCCAAAAGTTTCTGAGGTGGTACAACTCGTATACGATTAACTGCAGGAGGTGGTGTACCTTCTTTCTTTCCCTCTGTAGTTTCAAAGCCTGCCTCAACCTGTTCCTCATCATCTACTTCCTCATTTTCATTTTCATCTTCTTCTTCCTCTTCTTCAAGTTCATCATCGAGTCCTTTTTTATCTTGCTTTTTACTTCTAGCTAAATTTTCAATATCTTTAACCGTTTCAGGAACTAGAAGGTCAACCTGATTCTCTTCAGGTTTTTCTTTCTCTTTTTCCTTTTCCAATTTTACATATTTATTTGTTAAAGGTGTTTCTTCTTCACCTTCCTCTTCCTCATCTTCTTCTTCTTCAGAGGCATCTTCCTCACCTTCATTTTCATCTTCTACTTCTACTTCCTCCTCTTCTTCTTCTATTAAGAAGAAATTAAGATTGTTTTGTAAATTTCAAATTCAGTACACAACTCATATATTATCAAAGTAACTACCTGATTCATCTGATACTATCCTATTCTTTCTGACTTCCTTCAAAGGAATGGTAGGTGCTAGTTGTTCTTCCTCTCCTTCTTCAAGAACAAATTCATCATCATCACTCTCCTTCTTTCCAATTCCAAGTTCCTAGAATTTAATTTGTTTTTAATTATTATAAACAAATAATAAACATTTCATCAGTACATACATCATCAGAATCACTTCCAATAACTTCACGGAAATTGATTTTCTTTCCTCTCGTCTTTCTTCCGGTATCTAATTCCTCTTCTATCGGACCATATTTAATCTGCAACATAGTTTAATTCAATAAGTATAATATAATTTTACATTAAAATGTTTCATTTTCTTACTTTAGGTTTTTTAACTGTAGTTCTTCGTGGAACATCTGAATCAGAATCAAAAATATTCCTTTGTTTTTTCCTACTTCCTCCAGAGCGTTTTCCTGATTTTTTTGTCCTCGCTTGTGCCCTGACTTGAGGTTTTCTGTAACAAAAAATTAAACAATTTTATTTAAGGGAAAATAAATAGAATAAAAGCAATATGTTTAGTGTGAAATAAGAATGTTTACCTCCTACGCCGCCCCCATGATCTATCACTGCTTGATTCACTTTCCGATTCTTCCCACATTCTTTTTGACTTTTTCTTTCTAGGCCTACCATCGGAACTATCTTCACTGTCATCATTTACTAAAATGGATTCATGTTATAATTGTGGTTTCATTTGAAAATAAATAATTTTCACTCACTAAATTCTTTGTCAATTCTAGCTTGCCTTGCCCGATTGGACCTTCTTAAAGGTTGACTTCTCCAACCTACAGAATCATCACTTCCTTCGATGTCACTATAGTCATCATCTTCCTCACTAATAAAATAAATGAATGGTAAAATTATGTCCAAAGTCTTACTTATTTTTAAACCTACCTCGATCCTTTAAAATCTTCATCTGAATCATGATCATCACTATGAACATCTAAATCATTTAATTTCTTTGATTTTTTCCTTCCCAAACTAAGAGCTGGGTGTTTAGTAACAATCAAAGCATTCCTTTCATTTCCTTCGTCTTTTTCATCATTGGCCTATAATTGAGTAATATTGTTTTTTTACAATGGCCTAAGTCATCTGTCGTAATATTAATAGTGTTATTGTGTTGTAACACTACCTACCTCTTGTACACCACCATCACCGAGTTCATCGTTTTCCTTGCCTGATGTTTTAATTATGGTTTCCATATCCTTTCCTCGGCTTATGGCCTGTGTTGGTTCTTGTTCGCCAACCTCTATTTCATCCTATACATAAATATAACTTTCAACATTCAAAAATTCAACAGAGTCAATAAAACAAAATGGCCTGCAATATTTTCTTTGTGAATGCTATCTTAAAATTTGATCGTTTTGGTTCACTATCAGAAAGGGAAACTTGATATCCAGGACCACTTCCTGTTACTGATAATTCTCAAAAATACTAGTGGTTGCTGCTTAATCCATTGCAATTAGGCCAGGATAAAATTCAACGAGTTAACCGAAAAAGTGTAAGTGAAACTTGAGAGACTGAGGGGGGAATTTTGAAATAAACATTTTCTTTTAACTTACGTATTTCGTCACAGAGATCAAGTTATATAGAAGGTACTTACATAAATCAAAATCATTTATTCATTAAAAGCATTTATTATGTTGCGTATTAAATCAATTTAATGGTGATGGGGGAAGATTTCTTTGGATCTTTCTTGTGAGTTACCGACCAATCCTCCATTTTTTATCAGGCCATCATGATGCAGAAAACTGCTCACTGATCCATAATAGGGAAGATAAACTAGCCTAGTGTTGAAACTGAAAGTGGATAGATGAGCAAATACCCCTCCCTCCCATTCCTATCAAGTCACAAGAATATTAGCTTTTGAGTGCTTGTAGACATCTTTTTTTCCCCCTTCCATCGGACAACGGATCATGTTTTTACCGGACTTGCACTGTTGTATAGGCCATAATGAAAGTGGCATAAGCGGATGTATCGCTTTCTGCAAATTAGCTGCCATCCCTGTTTCTTTAAGTTATCGTGTTTATCATGTCGCTTGTTTTAAATTATCATGTATCATCATCAATAAAAGTTTAATGGTTTTTTTTCTGCATCCGAAAAAAATTGTAAAATTTTATTTCATCTTCTTCCAACTTCTCAAAGAGAATGAAATGCCACCATATTCTTTCCTTTCCAATAATAAAGGATTTACCCACAAGGACCTTTCACATTTTTCTGTCTCTTTTTGTGTTTTCTCGTGTAAATAGCAGGGCAATAGTTTTTTTCTTAATCTTCAACATTATACACATGTATAACCTCCTTGGTTACCAGTTCAAAACTGAGCCAGGGAGAGACAGTACTTGAAGCTAGTCCCCATCCAGAAGAAAATCTTATACGTATATAAAGTTTTCTGTTTATTGTGGTGTTGTCCAATGAAAAAAACAGACATCTACTAGCGTGCTTAAGATGGCCATTCACAATCACTCCAAATGGAACCGCGCCAAGCCGTACAGATCCATTTGGAGTGCCTGAAACTTGAGGGGGCATTCACGACCGTTCCATGGCCAGCTGCTCCGAACGTCATCTAGTGAATTACCTTCTCAAAATGGATGACGATATCTTGTGCTACGCTGTTGTTTGTTTATATATTAAAAGCAAAAAACCGAAGAGGAAATGGTGTTAGAAGTGGCTCCTGAACAGAAGCCGAAATACACACATCAATTTGAGATCAAGATCTTTCCCTTTCAGTTCATGAAGTTTCATGAAAGAACCCGCTGATTGGAAGAACTATTTAAGGATGGATGAAACATCTTATTGTGTTCATCTTTAGTATTCTATTGACCAAATTACTTCTTTCAATTAATCTTTTTTTGTAAGGTTTTGGATGAAATGAAAAGCTAGTGCCACGAGCGGGATTTGAATCCATAACCTCTTCGGATAAATACGTTGCTGCTCTACCACTTGAGCTATCGTGACTTCAATCCTCTCAGACACCAAAAAATGGCAAAAAGAGGGAAAATTCGAAAGATAGATTGAGATGAGAAGTTGGTGTCCGAGTGGATCGAACTGTCGAAATCACGATAGCTCAAGTGGTAGAGCAGCGGCGTATTTAGCCGAATGTCGTGGATTCGAATCCCCTTGTGACACTATTTTTTAATTTCAACTAAAACCTTACAAAAGAAAGTAAAGATTAACGTCTTATTTATATTTACTCCAGCTTGTTACCCCCTTGATTAGAAAACAAAAGACAGTCATGAGAGAAATCCATCACTCTTCATGAAAGGTTAGCAGCCACATTACGTTCTCTAAGTTCACTTAAGTTCTCTACTACGATTAGCTGCTCAGCGCTTAGGGGTTATCAATACTGCATCTCTCGTTGCATTTGTATCCTTTGTTTTGAAAACATCGACCAACTGGTTGCGGACCGAATTTCTTTTATTAATATCGTGGTAATCATTGTCCACCATTTTCCATAAACGGTAAACTTTCATACAATTCAATCACCTCAACAATAAAATCTCGATTGGATGTCATTACCAATAAAGACTTTTTGACTTTTAAAGAATGTACGACAGAGATGTTTGCTCAGTGACAGAAAGACGGAGACTGCGCCAAAAAAACGTGGGTTTCCTCATTCACGACCAAGCCAGCGCTCCAATATTCCACTGTTTACGCCAGGTTTTCCCATTCACGAATGCGCCATGCCATCATCGCGCCGTAGATATTTGGAGTGGCGCGATGGAGTTTGGATCGGTCGAATATTCGGCACAGCCGGGCACGCCAGTTCAGTTTTGCCATTGACGTGTTTTTTGGAACGGCGTCGCTCCGTTTGGACTGCTAGGAGCGATCGTGAATGGCCACCTTTAGGCCTCTTTCAGAAGAGATGGTTAGTGATTCGACTAGTTGAATGGACGGGTGTCAAAGAGATTAGCTGTGTAGCAAATGATTGGGACTGCCTGAACCCCTTACGTACAGTGATGATATGAATTGATAATTGATAGAAAACTATAAAATGTGTAAACAGAATGTGCCTTTGAATCGAATTCCAAGGAACCAATTGAATTGAAGGAAACCAAGGATGGCTAAAGTGACGGGATTATGTGAAAAAGGGTGTGTTGTACGTGGAAGAAAAGAACAGCTGCCGGTCAGCTGACCAACACCTTCTACAGAAAAAGAATATCCCCGTTTCTACTTTTCTCACAACAGATTAACAGAAACGCAACAACAAATTATCCAGTGAAAAATACTCAGCATAGGCCTTATTTGGTTCCGTCTTGCACATATTCAACAGAATAGCCAGAGAAGGATAAGTGCAATCATTGGCGTCTGCAATAATACACTAATGTTTAAATAAAATAAAATATTCTGTAAATTACCTGGATCGCTGAATTTATAAGATCATCATATTCACTGAATCGATAATTTGCTTGACCAGCTGCTCTACGTTGTCTAAGCTGGTAGACTGGTTCATCTTCATCATCAGAACTACCTGAGGATGAACTCTCTCCTGTGGTTGACTCAGAAGAGTAATGTGTTATTTTTTTCCTAGTTACACCTTTAGGTTTTATTTTATTCTTAGAGGCCGTGTTATTTCCAGCATTATCAGCGAGAACATTTGCAAGAGAAATGCCTACGTATGCAAGCCTTTTCCTTCGTAATTCCTCGTTTGCCCTTCTTTTCGAATTTTTTTCAAATGTTCTTAAAGTATCTTTAAGTTTCTTAACTAAAGCAGCCTAAAAATTGATGAGTCATTATATATTAACCATATTAGCTGATTTTAGTAAAACAAAACGTTTCTCACATGTTGACATGGAGGACAAAACCAATCCCCTTCTGGAATTAGCATGAGGGGAGGTCGAAGACATGAAGCATGGTAGCCCTTATCACAAGTGTCACAAAGGAGAATCCATTCTGGTTGATCAGTAAGACCACACTTTTCACAACTGTAATCTTCATATCCAGTTTCGTATTTTTGGTCTTCTTTTTCATCTTCTTTTTCCTCTTCTTTCTTTACTTCTATAATTATACATCAAAATTAGTTAAATCTAAGCCTGTCATATTTACCAAAATGTGTATTTACCCTTTTTTTTACAAGCAGTTCTAGCTCTTCGTACAGGCACAACTTCTCCATCCTTCTCAAGATCGGACTCTGGTGAAAACTCATGATCACTAGCTTCCTTTTTTATAATGTAATGATCCTCATCATAATCATCAGAATGTTCATCTTCGTCTTCCTCATTTTCTGAACTATGATTGATTGTCATAAAAATTATATAGAAATTATAAAAGAAGTATTTTAATGTTAAAAGTTTGTACCTTGAACAAGAAGATGACATCCAAGGTTTGTCAATTTTAAACTTTAACCTGTCTTTCTTTTTTTTCTTTTTCTTTTTTGATTTATCTTCCACCTCATTGGTATCTCCTTCTTCTACATCTTCCTCTTCACTTGTATCCTTTAATTTTACAAACATAAGAACAAAATGTAATCAATATTTTTTTAACATGATAATTTCATTAAGCAGACAGTAATTTTAAATTTACTTTTTTCTTTTTCTTCTTAATTGACCCTTTATCTTCATTATTCTGTAAAAATAAAAATGTGTCAATGTTTCTGTATACAATGTTTATTCTATTTTTAGTAAAACTTGAAATACCATATCCTTCTTCTTATCTTTTTTTTTAGTAGATTTCATTACCGCCATTGTAGCTTCTTCCATTGCTCTTCTTTCAGCTTCTTCTTTGATTTTCAATTGTGCTATCCGTCGTGATTGTCTCATTCTACCTTCCCCAGGTCCACTACTGGCATCAGCCTTAAATTCTTCGGCAATTTTTAAATCCCTTTCAGTGAGACCCATTAAGACGTCTAAAAGTTTTAGAGTTTAGAATTACAAAAAGAAAATATCAACTAATCCAAAAGGGTTACATACGTCGTTTCCTTCTTTTTTTTGGTTCTTCATTTTCTGATGCACCAGCAACCTTTTTGGGTCTTCCTCTATGCTTTTTTTGCTCTGTTTCTGTTCCAGTTGAATTTGACTTACTTTCTTCGGATTTTTCACTATTTTTACTGTCTTTGGATTCTTCATTATCTGAAACATCACTGTTTAGCTTATTTTTCTTGTCAGGTAGTTTTGGTTTAGCTTTGCCTTTCTTCAGTTTTTCATTGTCATCACCTTCCTCTCCATCCTCTTCATTAACAAGATCAGCTTTATCATCATCACTAGCCTGAGTTTTTTCTTTAACATGTTTCTCTTTAGTGTTTGATTTTTTATTATCTTCTTCTTCTTCCTTATCAAGGGTCTTTGTCACTTCTTCCTCATCACTGATTTCCTTTTCTTGCTTTTGAACACTTTTTGCTTTGTCGTTACCTACTTTTTTTGGGTTACTCTTAGTATTTTTTACAACTTTTCCTTTGGGCAAAGGTTTTTTTTCCTCAACAGCATCAGTTTTGCTACCCTTCCCTTTTGGCTTGACAACAGTCTCTTCTGGCTTCTTTTTAGGTTCCTTCTTTCCTTTTGTGGGTTTTGGTTGAGGTTTGGGAACTGTTCCCACATTCCTTAAACTTGCACGTGTTCTTCTCACTGGTAATTCTTTTGTGGACGTCACTTCTGACTCCTCATCATCGTTTGTGTTTGTTTCTTCGACATCTTTACATTCTTCCTTGATGTTTTCTTTTTTAATTTTAGTTTTATCTCTTTTTGTACCTTCATTACATTCACTCTCATCATTATCCCCATCATCTTCAGATTTTATTTTTATTTTATTTACATTTGACTTTTCACCTTTTGTTTCTTTCAATTTTTGTTGAGCTCCTTTTTTTAAGGTAACTGGGTTTTCAGCATCACTGTCCGTTTCTGCATGCTTAACCAAACCTTTAGGCCTTCTTTTAGATTTTACTTTTCCTAAGGGAACAAATTGTCTCATAAGTGACTTAATAATTATATATATTTTATATATGTATTTTTTTAAATTAGGTTTAATAAAAATTTATAAGTGCATTTTCATCTTGGGTATTTAACAACAATATAATCATGTTGTTCTTTGTGCAGAAATTGTTATAATAAAAATGTTTTATTTAATTTAGTTAAAAATTTATTTTGCCCAAACACTTGCTTGTTAGGAAGAAAGTATGGTAGTTGTTCATTGTCAATGGTCACTAATTATAAATAAGGAATAAATTTGAAATACTTTACTTTATTATTATTATTTATTCTTGTATATATAATTATAATTGTAAAAATTATTAGATAATAATTGTATAAGTATCATTATAATTAAATCTGAAACTTTCTGATCCCAATAAATTTTTAAAAATACAGAAACAAGTGAATATAAAAATAAAATCATAATTAGCTTTATTATTCCAATTTCTAATAGCACACTATTGTAAGTATGTGGCTATAGATTTATTTTATATTGATAGAAACATTAAATTAATTATTATTTACAAATTCATTTGATTGAAATGGATAGTTTACTGAAAAAAATGAACCTATTTACCTCTTAGGCATGGTCGTTTTCCTCCTGCTTCTTCATCTTCATCTTCATCATAGTCAGAAGATTCATCCGAATTACTTTCTTTCTTGTCTTTTCTTTTCCTTTTCCCTAGCATCTTGGTTTTCTCTTCAGCCGCTTCAGAAGATTTATTTTGTATTTTGGCTTCTTCAGTTTTCAATTTTTTATCAGCATCATCTTGACTTTTGTCTTCCCTGTTAGCCACATCTAAATCTTTGACATTTTTACATTTTTTCTGCGATGAATTGGCCTCATTTTCAACTGAATTAATGCTCACGATAGAACTGGACCTAGTACTCCGCCTACTGGATACAGAAGATGGTTTACTAATTTTTTGAGGAACTTGGGTTTCATCACTATTTTGACTTGTTGACCGAGACTTTCTGCCTTGCAATTTCTCAGGTTTTTTCTCATTTTCCACAACTGATGTTTCTTTTATGTCTGTTGACTCCTTGGCTTCAACGGTTCCCTTTTCTTTTTTTTCTTCCTTTTTTGCTTCTACATTATCTTTGGAAGAAGTTTCTGTCCTTTCACCTATATTCTTTGCCGAAAATAAGTCATTGTATTTGTTTCCCAATTGTTTGTCCAATTCAGAGTTATCGCCATGATCTAAACAAGCTTCAATTATGTTGGTGAGCATTACTTGTTTTTCCTTCCCTTCTTTTTTCTTCTCTGAACTGGAACATTCACCATTTTTCAAATCTTGCTCAACATCACCATTTTCATTAGTTTTTTTCACTTCATTTGAATCAGTGACATCACTCGTACTCTTTTTTTCTTTATCACAAAGCGAATCAATAGTCCAAACTTTACCAGTCTTTTGTTCTTCTTCTTTGTTTGACGATTCGTTTTTGGTCGATTCCCCAGGATTTCCAGTGTCACACTCAACACCGCTGCCTAAACCACTAAAAACCATAACATCCTCTTCAATAACTTCACTAAATTCTGGAACTGGTTCTTCTTTTTCCATTTGAAAAGGGAGCATATCTGCCCTACATTTCTCTCTTACTTCATCAAAATCTGATTCCATGAGAACATCTTTGTGAGGGTTTTCTGGTTTGGATGGAAGAAGTGATACCTCATCAGTGTCATCTCCAACACCCCTTAATACATCTCTATCATCAATATTATTTGTTGAATTTGAAATGACTGGATTAGAAGGAGCAGATTCTTCACCTAAACCAGCAATATATTTTAAAGGTTCTTCAACTTCATCATCATTTTGTTCAATTATCCTAGGCTTTTTTGGAGCACTCACTGTCAAGTCCTCCACTTTATTAAAACTAGCAGACATCTGGCTTAGAATATCTGACCTATCAATATTGTCTCTAAACACTGGAGATTCAATTTTAGATTTAAAAATCTCATCGAGCTTAGATACTGGCCTTCTGATATCCGGCCTTATGGTTAAATCTACTAAACCATTACTCTCAAACTCCTTACTAGGAAAACCATTTTGAATAGGAACAGTATTACTTTTTGACTTGTCGTCCTCTTTATTAGAAACCACGTTCTTTTCACCATTAATATTTACCGAATGTTTTTCTGAATTTGCAGTCTTTTTGTCTTGATGTCCATTCTCAGTAATATCACCATCCTCTCCTTCATCTTCATCTTCTTCCTCATCCTCTTCCTCACTAGCATCACCGACATCTTCATTTTCTTCACTCTCCTCTTCTTCTACCTCTTTCTCTGAAACACTATCATCTTGTTGGCCCATGTCAAGATTGTGTTTTTCATTTTCTTGGTTGGCCAATTCCTCTTCTTCTTTAAGGATTAAGTTTAATTCTATACGCCCTTCTCCTGATGACAGTTGGTCTATAAGATTGACCAAATCATCCCTATCTCTGTCAAAGAAAATAAAAACATTTAAAAGCCAATATAAGTAAGACTTTTTTAAATAAATACTTACTTGGCCACAAGGTCCCAAGTTTCTTCCTCTGTGTCTTCTTTATAAACTCTAAGATTACAACTTGGATCAAATTGACACCAATATGACTGTCCTGTATCATCTGTCCCCAAAGGCTTCAGTCTGAGCTCCTTCGCAGTAAGTTTATTGACTTCTAATTTGAATTTTGGATTGCAATCAAACTGGAGCTCTAACAATGCCTGAAATTAATAAACACTGATCAAAAACACATATCTAAATTAAATGTAAAAAAAAATGAACATACCTTTAACAATCTTAATTTAACTTCAAGTTTGGAATTTTTATAACCAAACCTTTCAATTTCCCATCCGTCTTGTTGAGAATATTTATGTGCGAACTTCGACAAAGCCCTCTCCCACCTGTCGACCGATATTGTCTTCCTTGCCTTCCTCATAAGTTTGATATGAAGTTCAATGAGTGACTGCTTAACTGTAAATTGGTTTTATTAAATTCTCTATTTTGAACTTTAAAAAAAACATTAATAATATTAAAGGGATGAATCAACGATGGAAAATAAACCATTAAAATTAAAATTTAAAAATGATCACCACATGAGCAAAATCTTGAGTGTAAACTGATGAATACAATATATTGTTTTCACCAAACATGAAAATTAAATAAACTTATTTACTTTTTTAATAGCTTTATGTTTTCCATATTAGCCAGAGAATGGATCTTGATTAAACTTTTTTCTAAAGAGGGGGGAGAGAAACATGAAAGAAAATTGTGGTGACGATGGGAATCGTACCCATGATCAGGGGGTCAATGAGCTGTCTAACACACTAACACTCGGCTATCATGCTCCCCCATAAATTTATTTTTTAGTCATTTTTGTCATCATATTCTCACTGGTTTTTACTGACAAATGTGGTTCAGAGTTTTTGTGTGTTTTTTAATGATCCAATAATGCATTTTAAACACTCGACCAAACACAGTCTTTCTGTTTGTCAGCCTGTAAGTGCAAATGAGACAAAAAGAAATATGGACATTTCATATAAAATTTCAATTAACTTGAAGGTCAGGGTGTCAGTAACTGCAACAATTAAGGTGTTGACACGCACTCATCACTGTAAGGTAAACGTCCTGGGTTTCACCCCAGCGGCTATGCATTCAAAACCAACATACTTACAAATGGGCTTTTTTTCAAAAACACTGGCACCCTGAGGAGGTACCTCTGCCTGTTGCGAACCCGCTTAAAAACTAAGTTAAAAAACTAACTTTAAAAAAAATTAACTGTGAAGGTAGAAGGTCAAAATATAAACTTCCTTGAATGCCATAATAAAAGAGAATAACATAAATTGTTAGATTTGTTTAGGTCAACGGGATGATGAAGCAGGAGCTTGGTCATATCCTATCATTTTAGTCTGTCTTTCCTTGCTGTTTTGGTCTGTTAGACTCATTTTAGTGTTTTACTATCATCATAATGTTGCTAACCCACCCGTCAATGAAAAGCCAAAATAAGGATATTGACACCAAAAATTTTAAAACATTTTACATTATAGAACAAATTCAATTGAACATTTTTTTTCACTGTTGACTAATCCTGAACATGATCAATTGTTTTGACAAGAGAAAAATAAATACAACACTTTAAGTAAGAAACCAGAAGAGCAAATCTACTTCAATGATAATTAGGTGATAGAAAGAAAATGTTATGAAACAAATAGGATTTGCTTTGAGTGATTGTGTATTTCTAATTTACTATTTAACAAAATTGTCATACTTTTAGTGAAGAGACAGCATTAAATTACAATTGCAAAGAAAAATTTAACAATATATGATTTTAAACAATTAACAAAATAATTTTGGACAAACCTAAGACAATCAAATCTTCCATAACACCGAATTCACACCAATTTTTGTTTGAAATAACTTCCCACCAGTTTAATAAAAATCTTAATTTTAGATAATAACTTGATCTTTCAAGATTAATATGCTGTATTGAAAATTACAATATATGCATAATAAATGTAATTATTGAAATTAATTATACTTTTTATCTAAGGTCTTGGTTGATATGAAAAATATAATTATTTTAAATAATTATTAATACAGTCAATTATGTTTAGTAAATACACTTATGGTTTAATATAATACACATAATTTAATGTTTAATTAACAAACAAAAAACATATTTAAACTTATCTAAAATATTTTGGACTGTCGACTGAATGTAGAAGAATTTAAAAAAAAAAAAAAAAGTAGATTTCTCTTAATAAAAATATAAAGGCAAAATTAACTTGAAGGATAATTAGACAGAAATGATGAATGTTATTTACCAAAGAAAAAAATAAAAGGAATGTTCTCAAATTATCAGTCTAACAAATAAATAAAATTTTTTAAAAAATATCACAGAATAATAAATTCTTCATTATTTTAAACAAAAAACGTGTAAAAATAATCAGTATTGTTATCAGAAAAAAATGGATTTGATTTTATTGAGTATAATCACAAAGATGCAAATAGTTTTGTCCAGCTTTTGCAAATCCGTTTCCTTGGCTCTTCAGGTCACAACGTTTATCTCTGACCTGCATCACCCCTCAGACCTCAGCTAGAACATTCCCCGAAAGTAAAAAGCAGAGGTCATCGATGTACAGTAATTGTCTAATTGGTTGGGGGACAACGTAAGTGATATCAATCAATGACTTCATCGAGAAAAGTGTAACACCATTCACTGAACCCTGAGGGACTCCATTCTCATGAACAAAGTCTCTGGAGAGTAGGGACCATCTGACAGGTCTTTTGGTTCCTCAAGGAACTGGGATAATTTGTCTCAAAATCCAACACTGAAACATTTCTGAAGTAGCGCATACGCTTTCTTAAGGTCAAAGAACACTGCCAGAGCGTGCTCTCTATTCAGAAACGTATTCTTCTTAATGTTTCCTATGGAATCCCACCTGACACTGGCTGTAAAAACCTTTTTCTCAAGACAGAGGTTAAACAACCGTTTATCATATCTCTTTTAAAGTAGGAAATGTCAATGAAGTGAAGAAAAGAGGGCAATTCATTCACTTCAAAACTGTCCTACTCGGAACAGGTACATCTTCCTCGCGACAGAACTCCTCAGGGCTATCAGGAAGTGGTCCCTCAAGAGGGCCATCACCTTACAATGATGAGCACAATGTCAACACCAAACCTTTGTGGCCAAGATGCCCCGGAATAGTTAGAATTGTTTTGAGAACTGAAAACTGTTTCCAACTTATGTCATACATGTCATTTGATATCAATCCGAAGCATTCAGTCAGAAACAAGAGATTGAATTGGATTTAATTCCATCCTAATAAGAATCCTCTGTTTGGAGGAGAAAACAATATTTTATATTTATATACTGCGATGATGAAGAAACAATCTTAAAACAATAAATTATTCACTAAGTCATGGAAAATAATAGAGATACCACTTATTTACTTTGTACTTACAATCTTAAAATCAGTTTACTGTTTTCAAAGGAAACTTTATATTTTAGTGACATGAAAACAAAAGTTTTGTGACTTCGAAATAATAATGAAAAAGAATATATTTTAAAAAAACCGCTAACAAAAAAGAGACTTAAGACAAAGGAAACAGGGATTTGGTTATGCATTCTGATACAAATTGTTTAGTACTTGCGTTTTTGTAATGGTTTAATTAAGTCTTAATATAAATCCGAGTTTTAGCCTAAAAAGGGGTAAAATTAATTTGTTTCTCAGGAAGAAATGTTTTGTGACTTTCTAATGTTTACATAATTTAAGAAACTGTCATAAAAAAAGAGATTTGTTTGAGTCCACTACAAATAAAATTATTTACTAATTAATTTTTGTTTAAGTATTTTGAATCAATCCAAATAAAAATCCTTGTTTTAGATTTGTGTACATATTACAATGCTGAAGGAGCAACCCAACGCAATAAATCAAGGACAATAATGTTTACTGTCTTATTAACTACGAAAATATTGAAATTGCTCAGACTAAAATCAATTAGGTGGTATGAAAAGCATTAAATATCAGTTGTCCATATTAGAAGTATTGAACATTGTTTCACTTACAAACACTCTGGATCGATTCAAAGCATTCGGCCATAAAGGAAATACTGGATTGGATTTAATGAAATCCTAATAAAAATCCTCCATTTGGGAAGGGGGAACAACATGTATTTTACAGTAAAAAACATTTTATATTTGTGTTCTACGCTGATGAGGAAACAATCCAATAAATTATTCACTAAATCGTGGAAAAATGGAAATACCACTTACTTCTTCATACTTACAAGTTTAAAATCAGTTTACTGTTTTGAAAGGAAACTTTAAATTTTAGTAACATGAAAAAAAAAGTTTTGTGTTGTCAACATAATAAAGAAGAAGAATATATTTTAATAAATTGCTAACAAAAAAGTGACTTATATTCATAGGAAACATGAATTTGCTATTCGCTTTCTGTTACAAATTGTTTGCTAATTGCGTTTCTTTATTAGTTTTAATTAAGTCAATGTAAATCCTAGTTTTAGACTAAAAAGGGGTAAAATTAGTGTAGTAAATGTCTATGAAAATATTAAAATTGCCTAAACTAAAATCAAATAGTTGGTATGATTCACAATGTTGAACACCAGCGGTGGGAAGACTTTTTTTACGGGGGTGTTTCAACTATGACATTATATGAACCCTCAGAGGGCCGGTGTTTGAGCATTGCATTTAATATCAACCTAATAAAAATCCTCCGTTTGGGGGAGAAAACATTTTATATTTGTATACTACATGATTATTTGGAGATCATGAGATGCAGTCTGGTTGGATGTAGGTTTAGAAAAACATGTTCTTTATCGTGCCAACGTTTCTATCTTTGTGTGGTGATTAGTGACTTTTAGTCGATAATTATTCAGAAATCGTGAGATGCGGTCTGGTGTGATGTCACCCAACATCAACAACATCACACCAAACCGCATCTCATGATTTCTGAATAGTTTCTGTCTTTAATGAGATTGTCTTCAGGGCCTAGAATTTATAAACATAGTTTAAATTATACAAATGTGAAAAAATTTATACAATGATAGAAATTCATTTTCGGTCTGGTGTGATGTTGATGTTGGGTGACATCACACCAGACTGAAAATGAATTTCTATCATTGTATAAATTTTTTCACATTTGTATAATTTAAACTGTTTATAAATTCTAGGCCCTGAAGATGATCTCAATAAAGATAGAAACTATTCAGAAATCATGAGATGCGGTCTGGTGTGATGTCACCCAACATCAACAACATCACACCAGACCGCATCTCATGATTTCTGAATAGTTTCTATCTTTATTGAGATCATCTTCAGGGCCTAGAATTTATAAACAGTTTAAATTATACAAATGTGAAAAAATTTATACAACAATAGAAATTCAATTTTTTCATATCCTACATGTTTTTGTATAATTTAAAAAGTATTTATAAATCCCAGGAAGTGAAGATGATCTCAATAAAGATAGAAACGTTGGCAAAAAGAAAATGGTTTCCTAAACCTACGTTCTCCAAATAATTATTAATTAATGGTCACTAAACAACACACATTTGTATACTATGATGGTGAAGAAACAACCAATAAATATCCACTAAATCACGAAAAATAATGGAAATGCCACTCATTTACTTTGTACTTACAAGATTTCTGTATACTGTTTTGGAAAGAAACTTTAAATTATAGTGATGTGAAAAAAGGTTTTGACTTCGAAATAATAATGAAAAAGATTATCTTTTAATAAATTGTAATTAAAAAGACTTATTAGGCAACATAGATTTTGCATTATGTTACAAATTGCTTACAAATCGCTAAAAAGGGGTAAAATTAATTTGTTTCACAGGAAGAAATGTTTTATGACTTTCTAATGTGTATATAATTTAAGAAATAACCATAAAAAGAGATTTCTTTGAGTCCACTATAGATAAAATTATTTACTAATAATTTTTGATTTACGTATTTTGAATATGTCCAAATAATAATCCTTGTTTTAGAGATAAACGCATTTTATAGTTGTATACATAATACAATGCTGAAGTAGCAATCTAACGCAATAAATCAAGGACAGTAATGTTTATTGTCTGATTGCCCATCAAAATATTGAAAATGCCTAGAACTAAAATCAATTTCTTAACTTGAAAAGCAATAAATATCAGCTATAGGAGGAATTGTTTTGAAACTTTGGAAAACTGTTTCCAACTGTCGTATAGGTTATTCGATATCAACCCGACGGGCGAAGCGTTCAGTTGGAAAGGGAGAGATCGTATTTGAAATCGTGATTTAAAAGGTCGCCGATATAATCCGGCAATGGGAAAAGGAAAATTACGAGGGTAAACGAGAATAAGTTGGCGTTAGATTTGATTGCGGTAGCTGTCAAAGGGCTTACCTTCGCTGGTGTTCTCTAGCATTTCTTGCAACTCGTTGAAGCCGGGCCTGGGGATGCCGCAGGCGTCCGAGAACATCTCGAAGAATGAGCAGATGATGGCGAACTCCGGGAAGGAGGTGCATATCTGTTGTTCGGCCGTCGCATCGTTTTCGCTCGTCGTCGCCATGATTATTACCGCTATCTCATAGTCCGTTCCCAAGCGGTTGGGAACGAGTCCGCTTTTACTTTGAAAAGTGCGCCTGTGGAAGTAGCGCGTCGGAAGGGCATTACAGCCGGCTTCCGGCGTCGTCGGGGCGTCTGACGTTGGCGTCGGATATCGGCCCGGGCGGAGTGGATCCTCGGGCGGCCACTGAGAAAGGGCCGATCATTACTCGCCGAGAGACGGACGCTCCTCTTCGCGGGGATCCTCGGACGGCGACGCCACTCGCGAAGGCGCGGTCGGATTCGATTCGGAGGCGGCCGGCGTTAGACGTGAGACCTCATAAAACGATCGGGAAGACGAGAACGGGGTTTTTGTTTTATTCAAGATTCCACCGATTCGACGACGGAAGGACACAAACGCAAACACGGAGACGGAACGAATGCAAACGCCCGACGCGAATTCTGACGACCGACCCCTCAAACGCCAGTTACCTTCCTTTCAAGGAAATTCAAAAGATTCTCACCTTTTAATTAATTTCCGCTTAAAAACGCGTTGGTCGTCAATAGTTTAAAAGATAACAAAATTAAATTATTAAAACAAATTTCTCTTACACCTGAAAACAGATTTCATCTTCAAAAGAATTCATTAAAATATTACGGAGAAAAATCTAAGACCGTTTGCAAGCAAATACAATTTTATCTCCTCAGGGTTGCTTCGTAATAATTAGATACATAAACCAAATTCATTAAAATGATGTAATTTTACACATGAACAGGGATAAAACACACAACTCACTTGTTGGCAGTTTAAAAGATAGTTCTTAACACACGGTTCACGGTTTGTTGTTTCTAAACAAATCGGATTTCAAGCTTAAAGCTCATCATCAATTTGAAGGAGTTACAACCGCGTCTCTCGACATGAATTATAAGGGTGAACCCTCCGATCGACTATTTCGAACAGAGAACACCTGTTGGAGGTACGAGCATGAAACTAGAAAATATCAACAGGTCCAATGGATATTTGTTCCTGAAGAGATTTGCCCCAAATTTGCCTGTTTTTATTACACAACTTATTTTTTCTTTTTGAAAAGATAGTTCCTATACACGGTTTGTTGTTTTTTAATTATCCGGATTTCAAGCTTAAAGCTCATCATCAGTTGAAGGAGTTACAGGAACACCCGTCTCTCGACGTGCCTGTGGAGTGAACCCGCCGATGAACCGCCAACGCAACGATCCAATGAGAAGCTGGTTTTATTGGCCCTCAATTTTGAAGTGCGAAAAACGTGGATTACAACACAACTAAATATCTTAAAGAAGAAGAAAAGAAAATAATTTTAAATTAGTGATTAATTTGTATGTTTTTCTTAATAAAATAAAATAATAAAAATTAAATTAATCCATAAATTTTATCAGTCATAATTAACCATATTAATTTTTACAATTAATTATACTTTTTATCTAGTCTTGGTTAAGATGAAAAAGTTAGTATCAAGAGCAGGACCCACACTTATCATTCACCCTTCAAAGAAAAACCCCTCATATGGTATTCCTCCATAATACCCCCATCCCAGAAACAGAATTGTTCCAGAACATTGGGTTCCATCTAGACTCAAGATTAACCTGGAATCAACACACAAGACTAAAACGAAAGGCACTAAACCAACATTTCAATATACTATAATTCAATGTCGCACAAATCTACTGTTTCAACGTAAAACAAACTGACAATCTAGAAGACAACACTAAAATCAATCTGAACATACGGACTAGAACTGTGGGGCACCGCCAAACCTACCAACATCCAAAGTCCTCAAAATCATAGTCAATGCTCCTTACTGCCTCTCCAACTATACCTTTCACAACAACCTCAAAATCCCTTTTGTGCAACAAAACAGTTTCCAAAACATTTTCCACTTTCCACATTAAACTCTTCTCTCATCCCAATCGAGCTGTACATTCCTCGCACATCATCCAACAAAATGACTGAAATGATGGCCCTGCGACCTACGGAAAGAGGATTAATCCTCGCGTACAGCTGAGAGAACAACAATGGTTGTTAACACCCCTCACGACACCTGATCCATGCCAATTGTAAATTTAACCCATTACATGTTGTAAATAATGTTATAGAATGTATTAAATAAATTTAAAAAATCAAATTTATCCAACCAATCTACAAAAATGAATTGCCAATTTTGTAGTATTTACTTTCCTTAACATTTTTTATTATAAATTGCATTAAAATTTATTAGAAATTATCAGTTTTTTTGTTTTTACTGAAATGTAAAATGTAATTAAGGGATTTTGAAAAATAACAAAATAAAAGGTTTTAATTCCACAATTTTGTTTATTGGGAACAATAATTTTTTTAAACAATTAATACCATCTATAATGTCATCTGTTGGCTAAAACCTATGTGCATACAGTTATTAAGGTTGTCACTAATTTCAAAAGGAATTTCACTCCCATAGATGTTGCAACACTGCACTCAGTTGTTGCAGGTCAACTGGCTGCGGATGGTGATCGAAAAGCTTTTTCTGCAAAACATCCCACATGTGCTCATGGGATTGAGGTCTGGACACAATGGTGGAAGGGGGCAGATGGGAAATTCTCAGGTTTTCTAAACACTGACGAACAACTCTGCTCTGTAATGGCATTTTCATCCAGAAATCGAATATCTTTGACAATGTTACCCCTGGTTTAAGGGATATATTCCTCGATAATGTCTTGGACATTACGAACTGTCTTCAACAATATCGAGTCCAGTTCGTCCTCCAGTGTAAATCCCAGCCACAGACAAACACGGCCTCCTACAAACTGCACTCAAAGGAGCACGAACTGGGGCATTGGACGAATCCCCTGTTCTCAGTAGATTCCTCGGCGCCTGCTATCACTATACAGACAGAAACGCGACTCGTCAGTAAACATAACAGCATTCCAATTGGAGTTTTCTTCTAGGCGTTCGCTGCACCCTTATGAACCCTTTCCATAGTGCCCGCTAGATCCTAAATGAAGTACAAGATGTTTTGGCAAGTCCTTTATCAACACAAACAATTCGTAAACGTTTGTGGGAAGTTGGCCTCACATCGTACGCACCTTTGAGACGACCTGCAGCAACAGCCCGCCACCAGCGCTACTCACCGTCTTGCAGCAATGACAATATTTCCGTCCTCCCTTAGCGTCGTAATGCGCTGAGAACCACTACCAAGTACCAGGCCTCCTATTGGCACAGCCACTCTTCGAGTCTTTCCGCTCTCGGAATCGGGTTAAGCCCGGGCGACCGCGTTCTGAGAAACGTCTACTGCCTCTGAGATATCTACTTGCCGGTGTCATCCATGATTAAAGAGAATACAACTGGATTAAGACTGAGAAATTACGAGAAAAGGTGTTTGTTTACAAAATGAATACTCTTCATGTTTACTATTCTTAAGTAAATCTGTTATTAAAAATGAGGAGTAACTATTGTGTATTTTGTTTTATCCAACTAACTAGAATATACTGGTTAATTTAATTAAAATTAATAGAACAAGAATAAATTACATATATTCATTTTTGAGTGTTTATTTAGTTGAGTTGTCGTTCATGTTTTTCGCAAGTTGAAAATTGAGCGGCATTCTATTTAAACGGTCGCCTTGGCTGTGGATTGGCCGTTGGCGGGTTCACTCCAATTCACGCGATAGACGAGAGACGTGCTTGAAACTTCTTCAACTTGATGATGAACTTTAAGCTTGAAATCCGGATAATCGAAAACTACAAACTGTGAGTAGAACTACCTTTTCTTTAAAAAGACTGAAATGTATAGTCAAAAAAATTCCATTATTGCATGCTGGCACATCTCTGTTTTTATGTACTTACGATTGCTTGACAGTAGTTAAAACCCTCACACATAATTTAATAAACAGCAATTTTACTGCATCTGTAGATATTTTTGATCTTAAAAAAACAAAATACATAACTACTAAAATGATGTAGAGAAATATATATCAATGCATGCAAGCAACTGTCAGTTTTTTCTTGTTAGGCTCACTTGACAATTTCTTTAAAAAATGCATTTACAATACTTAATAAAATAATCCACTAAACCTGAAAATATATTTGGTCTTAAAAATATATTTTATACCAATGAAAAGTATTGTAAAGAAATCTCTGATTAGTGATTATTTTGAGATCGTGAGGTCTGGTGTGACTTTAGTTCGAAAAACATTTTCTTTATCACGCTAACATTTCGATCTTTATTGAGATCATCTTCAGGGCCTGGGATTTATAAACATTGTTTAAATTATACAAATACATATAGGATGTGAAAAAGTGAATGTGTACAATGCTAGAAATTTTATATTCAATCAAAGTACAAACACTTATCAATGAATACGAATACTTTGATTGAGTCTAAAATTTCTAGCATTGTATAAATTCACTTTTTTCACATCCTACATGTATTTGTTTAATTTAAACAATGTTTATAAATCCCATGCCCTGAAGATGATCTCAACAAGATCGAAACTAAAACCAATGTCACCCCAGACTGCATCTCATGATCTCCAAATAATCATTAACGATCCAATTATTATAATTTTTACGAGGGTTCGCAACAGCAGAGGTTATATCAACCCTCAGGGTGCCGGTGTTTTTGAAAAAAATACCATTTGTAAGTATGTCGGGCTCGAATGCAGGGCCGCTGGATTCGAACTCGGGACCTTTACCTTACAGTGATGAGCGCCGTGTCAACGCCTAAACTGTTGCGGCCACCAATGCCCCTATAATCATTAACTACGGACACTAACACTACACATCTCTGATCACTACATCCAGACACACCTGTTTTTATCTACTTCAGGGTTCCTTGAAAGTTAAAAGGGTTAAGACACTCACAAATTTTTGTGAACTTCTATGGCGTAAGTCCCATGCCATGGAAAGTGAGCTTTTTCTCTCAAAATTAAACACTTTCCTTGGTGCCTCTTCACGCACTGCTCTTTGGGGTGAGAATTGCATTACTGATGTGGTGATACCGAATACAGGCATGCGCCTCGCATTCACAAAGGATATATACTGATGTCTATGTTTTTCCCCCGCCTCTGCATTTTACATTTTCTTTAGGTGTGGTTTACCAAATGGCAATTTTGCTCCAATCACGCCTTTCAGTTATTTATGAATTTAGGCAGTTTATTTCCCTCATACCTGGTGTTTTTGTTCAGTATTTAGGTTTTTCTCTCTCAAGCCATTTTCTATCTCTAACTTTAGCCCACTCTCCAGTGTACATAGTGGTTCCATTCCCATTGGTGAGAGGGTCCTTGTACGACTAATTAGTTTACCTATTTGTTTTCTTCTGTACCTTGATATTCTGGCAGGTACTGATATGCCTTAAAGTACACTCCTAGGGCCATTTTAGGCACTTTAGGCATTCCCATACTAGTTTGGAGCTAAAAACATATGCATTTATTTCCTTTACATATCTGCTTAAAAGTATTAT